GGGGTTTCGGGGCTTTCGGGGTTTTTTTTGCGGTGTTTGTTTGGGAGTTTTTTTTTTGGGTTTTGATTGGTGCATGAAAATCCACCATAAATGCTACTTTTGATTTATATAATATTAAAATATTTAAGCTTTAATTAAGCAATTTCATTATTTTTATTCATAATATTTTAATTGGAATTTGTCTAGTTTTTGCTTAATTATTTACAGATGAAAGCAGTGTAAAAAGCTACACAAGAAGAAGCCATGAAAGCCATATTTTCAGCTCATCCGAGCCACACAAGCCGAGCCAATCAGAGAGAGCCACGCCACCCATTAGCCAAGCCAAATGAAGTGGGTCCCGCGTGTCAGCGCAGAAATCCGCGCCTTTCCTCTCGCTCCATCTCGTGCATCGCGTATCACTGGCACGCGTTACCTCATAGCGCGCATTTCCTTGCACGCAGCCAACACCGCACGTCCAATCTTCTCCCGTGTGGGTCCCGTGTGACAGCGTGCCAGCCTAAGTTTCTCTCCGCGCGCGACAGCTATCCTCCATTCTGACTCCGCGCCAGTACACTTCTCCCACTCCGCACGCGACACGTGGCAATTCTTTTCCTTTCCTCCAACCAAGCTTCGACACGTGTCTAGATAGTGCTAAATCTGGATTCCTTCTTTGCAAATTACCAGATTTCTTCCCCAAATTAAATATATGATTTCTCCTAATTTATGTGTAATTTTATTTTATTTCCTTTTCTTTTGTAATTTTCTATTTTTATTATTTGTTTCCTTAATTGACAGGCAACCTCTGAACACTATAAATAGAGGGGTTGGCCTAAGGTTTTTGGAAGCTTTAAATATTCAGTTTTCTGTCGTCTTGCTGTCAGTCTCATATTTTCTCTCTAGAACTTGTGAGAATGTTTTGCAAGATAGGCTAGAGTTTTTGTCACGCCCCCCAAACGGGGTGGGTGACGTGGAGCTCGATTAGAGATTAATAAAGCAGATTCCCAACCGGGCCCTACACTTGACTGCATTAAAATATAAATAAATTACATAATCCAGGAGCCTCTGACACACAAGGCTCCACCCCACAGGACATACAGTATCGTACATACATGCTCATGTAATTAATCATTACAACAGACATCAACCACAGTCTAGTAAATCCAAATATTACATAAGTTTACAGAATTCTCAAATTCCTTACATTTGTCCAAGAGGATGTTCACGATCCTCACTTGATTCCAACAGCAGCACAACTCAGCTGCTCC